AGAAAAAATCACTAGCATGCACTCTGGCGGCGCTTGTCGGAACTGTTTTCTGGCGCGCATGCATATCCTGACGTTATCGACACAGCGCTTGGCAACCAACGTTGCGCCACTTCCGACAAGCGCCGCCAGAGTGCATGCTAGTGATTTCTTCTCGCTTGTGACCTGTTTCACTGGCTCTATATAAGTACCTGCTCCTCTCTCGCAAAGACATTCACAGTTATCCCTCCACTGTAAGATATAAAGTGAGGGAATTTATCAGTCTTTCATCTTTGTTTTACCAGAGGTGACAAATTAAATTAATATGTTCTATTAATTTAAAAAAATATATATTTTTAAAAATAAATTTTTGAAAAATATATTTTTTAAAAATAAATTTTAATTAATAATTAAAAAAACCAATTTTTAAAACCTTGGTTTTTTGTTGGCTGCCAATAAAAAATCAAGCTTTTGAAAATCGATTTTGTTTCCTTGGCAATTCCTTGGCAACTAATATTGGCCCGATGCTTGGCTACCGATCATTGGCAGTAGCGTGATCATCCCAAGTTTAAACCATTGGTGGTCCAATGATGGTTGCCATTAATGTTCCAATAATGGAACGGAGTTCGCCAAGCATGGCCCATTATTGAACCAATCGTTTACTTCCCATTGGGCCTAGTCAATTTGACTATTTTTTCCTGATTGCATCGACTAATTTTCCTGGTCACTTTAACTATGCTTGAATTTTATTACTTTGACTAGGATTCTATAGTTGGCTCCTCTCGTAACTAGGAAACCTTGTCAATTCCTGGTATACGGGTCCTAGGCATTTTTTTCGGTGTAGCGGCCAAACTTGAATATGTATCTGCAAACGAAAAGTATTTTTGGAAAGCATGGTTATTTGGCTATAATTTTGCTACCCATTATTTTACTGTATCCCTATGAGATACGAATGAAAAAGTAAACAAAATTTTTTAACTTTCCTTGCCCCAGCACCGTGGCAAAGATAGTTAAAGAATCCGAATGTTATAAAAAATCAGTAGATTTTCGCTCTCTTTATTTTATTAGATTCAGACTATTCAATATTGATATCTAAAGTATTAACGATATGTTTTGAACATTTTCTGAATTTTAATTATTGCATTGAAATTCGTCTGAACTTAAATCTCAGTTTTAACCAATTTTCTTCAGACAACTACCAATGTCTTGGTCAATAATAGCTTTGTTTTCCGTATATAATTACGCACTATTATGTATATCAGCCTAAAAAGAACAATTAAACATTTTTTTATAATTTACAGTCGCATTAGCAGGATTGTACCGTACCATATAAAAACATGTGTTTTTAGGATTCCGTACCCGGTAGGAACCCTATTAAAACGGTTACGAAAAATGACCATGTACCCCCACCCTAGCGCTCACAGTTTTTCATCTAGAGAGCTAGAAATTGGTACACGTATGTATTTTCACACGTAGATTGCACGAAAAATATAGCGAACGTGATTGGAGTTAATCTTCATAGAGTTTTCCACGAAAAACATCAAATTTTGTCCGTTTTTCGCAAAAAAAAGGCATGTACCCCCCCCCCCCTAAAGCTCACAGTTTTTCACCTAGAAAGATGAAAATTGGTATGCATATGGGCAATTCCACGCAAGATTTACCTATGACCTTGAAAATTCGGTTAAACATATTTTTTTCTCAATCTATATGGAAAAAAAAGAAATACGTGTTTTTTTATTTTTGTTTAATCGCCCAAATTTTCGAGTTATGAATTTTCGAAATTTTGGATTTGTAACTGTAGACATATTTTCAGTAGCTTATAAGTCTGAAAATATTGAGTATAGAAAAAACTTGTCAAGGAGTAAAAGTTTTAGTTTTCTTTCAACTTTTAAGAAATGTAAAAAAAAAATTTTTTTTTTAATTTTTTATTTAAAAAAATTTTTTTTTTATAAACAAATTAATTTTTTTTTAACTTTGGACCCTTTTCTTTTTTATTTTTTTAAAATTTATTTATACCTTATAATATACAGAAGATTTTCCAAAAAGTTTTGGAGTGGGCCGACGCGTTTAATAAGTTGTACAAAATTTTCAAAAATCACGTGCAAGGTGCTCGTGTTCTACGAAACGCCTCACAATGGAATTTTTTTACAATTACTTCTCAAAAAATGTCTACAGACTAAAATTTTTAATCGATTCGAGTATTTTTTGTTTTAAATAAAAGGAGAACAATTTCTGAACATATCCCTCCATGCAAACCTAAGAATCTTCAATTGTTTATAATTTTTTTTTAAATACAAAAAGTTAACAAATTAGTTGTGTAGTTTCCTTTAAAAATGAATGATTATTTTCTTATTTTGCTACTACACATGTCCTAAATTAGATTCAATTAATATAATACATGACCACCAGATAAATAGTAAAACATAAAATAATTTATCTAAACACTTATAAACAATATTAGTTAACAAATAGTTAACTTTGGTTCCTCTCCATAAAAAAACTTTGTTCTTTCATATTCATATTGTACTTTAGGTTCATTTAATGAATACATCTCCCTTTCGTTAAAAAACAATTTTTAATTGTTATAAACAATAATAGTTAACAAATAATGAACTTTGGTTCCTCTGCACCAAAAAGAATTTTTTTCATAGTTTTCATTGAAGTTTATTACAAAGAATATATGTTAAAAAATAGTGAACGTATGAAATAGTTTGTTCAATAACTATAAACAATTTAATATATATATATATAAATTTGTATTAAATGTTTTTTTTCTTTCCTTGTGTTTTTGAAATTAAAATAAAAAAATTAATTAAAATAAAATAAATGCAATTAATATATATTTTACATTAAAATGTTTATTGTTTTATTTTGAGACAAACATTCTTTGCAATAAACTTCAATGAAAACTATGAAAAAAATTCTTTTTGGTGCAGAGGAACCAAAGTTCATTATTTGTTAACTATTATTGTTTATAACAATTAAAAATTGTTTTTTAACGAAAGGGAGATGTATTCATTAAATGAACCTAAAGTACAATATGAATATGAAAGAACAAAGTTTTTTTATGGAGAGGAACCAAAGTTAACTATTTGTTAACTAATATTGTTTATAAGTGTTTAGATAAATTATTTTATGTTTTACTATTTATCTGGTGGTCATGTATTATATTAATTGAATCTAATTTAGGACATGTGTAGTAGCAAAATAAGAAAATAATCATTCATTTTTAAAGGAAACTACACAACTAATTTGTTAACTTTTTGTATTTAAAAAAAAATTATAAACAATTGAAGATTCTTAGGTTTGCATGGAGGGATATGTTCAGAAATTGTTCTCCTTTTATTTAAAACAAAAAATACTCGAATCGATTAAAAATTTTAGTCTGTAGACATTTTTTGAGAAGTAAATTGTAAAAAAATTCCATTGTGAGGCGTTTCGTAGAACACGAGCACCTTGCACGTGATTTTTGAAAATTTTGTACAACTTATTAAACGCGTCGGCCCACTCCAAAACTTTTTGGAAAATCTTCTGTATATTATAAGGTATAAATAAATTTTAAAAAAATAAAAAAGAAAAGGGTCCAAAGTTAAAAAAAAATTAATTTGTTTATAAAAAAAAAATTTTTTTAAATAAAAAATTAAAAAAAAATTTTTTTTTTACATTTCTTAAAAGTTGAAAGAAAACTAAAACTTTTACTCCTTGACAAGTTTTTTCTATACTCAATATTTTCAGACTTATAAGCTACTGAAAATATGTCTACAGTTACAAATCCAAAATTTCGAAAATTCATAACTCGAAAATTTGGGCGATTAAACAAAAATAAAAAAACACGTATTTCTTTTTTTTCCATATAGATTGAGAAAAAAATATGTTTAACCGAATTTTCAAGGTCATAGGTAAATCTTGCGTGGAATTGCCCATATGTATTTTCAAAAATGGATTACAGGAAAACTATAGCGAACATATTTGGTATTGATCTTCATAGTGTTTTCAGCGAAAAACTCAAAAATTTTGAAAATTTAGAAGAAAATGCATGTACCCCCCCCCTGGCGTCCACAGTTTTTTATCTAAAGAGCTGAAAATTGGCATACTTATTCGTTTTTACGCATAGATTACAGGGAAAATATAGCGGAAGCGATTAGAATTTATTTTAATGGTGTTTTCATCGAAAAACTAAAATCTCTTTGCCAGCCCGAAAATTCTTTAACTCTTGCTGTTTCTCTCAATTCTTAATCTAGTGGACTGGCGTTATACATTTTTATTTATTTTTTCGTGTAGATTTCAACAAACATACAGAAAAAATTATTGGAGTTCATCTTCATATTTTTTTTTGCGAAAAACTAAAAATTTTTTTCGTTTTAGAAAAAAAAGTGTGTACCCCCCCTTGGTTTTCACAATTCTTGGCTATAGTTTTGCTTATTTTATGAATTTTCATGTGTCGATTTCAGGAAAAATAGACCGAACATGATTGGATTTTATCTTCATATTTTTTTTAGCAAAAAACTCAAAGTTTTTAAAAATTTCGTCAAAAAAGCGTGTTTTTTACCGTAGCGCCCACAGTTTTTTATCTGAAGAGATTATAATTGGTTATTTATTTATTTTCATCTGTATAGATTACAGAAAAAATACAGCGAAAAATATTGGAATTGATGTTTATATTTTTTCAGCAAAAAAATAGAAGTTTTAAACGTGGGTACGGTACCCTCGGTTTTAGTACGAGTTCTTCTCGCACTTGTCCGGTTTTTTAAAAATAAACTCCTAACTTCGCAAATGGTGGCAGACTGACTTCCAATTTTTACTATCATCTTTTGGTGTTAAGACGCGAAAATATCATGAATGACGCGCTAATTTGAACAAGCCGTAAACAATACAGCCACTAACTATCCTTGCCCCATCCTCCCTTACACAATATTAAAAGTGCATAATTATATAAAATGAAAACAATTGTACAAAATAAAAATAATTACATAACCTTTTTTTTATAAGAATGTTTCAAATTTTTAAAAATTAATTTTTTTCAGGTAACAAAAGCGATTTGGAAGAATCAAGAGAAGTGCAAAAATCGGAGGCAGAAGCGGTTTGCGAATATCTTCCTGAGGTTTTAAATGTTCTGGAAACTTCAGCGAAAGATAATACGAATATTGACTCGATATTTTACTGTCTGGCATCAGAATTAAAGGTTAGTGGAATCAAAAACTTTTTTCAAATATAATTCGATATAATGGACATTTTCGAACCAGAGAGTCAGTTTTATTAGGAAATTTCGACTTTTCGAAAATTAAGGTTTAAAATTTTTTTCAATTTAAAAAGAAAATAATTAAATTATTTCTACTCTTCCAAATTTTACTATAAATAATTAAATATAATTTTTATTTATGAAAATTGGTGAAATAACAATCTTAAGTTGTTTGTTGAATAAGACGAAACGACAAAAAAATTAAAATTTATCATAATTAATCAATGGAGGAAAAAATAAATGAAAATCGAAAAGTTTAAAAACTTTTTTATATTAATAAAATTTCTCTATCAAAATTTTTGAATTTAAAATTAAAATGAGGACTTAAAATTAAAACTACATTGAATTGAATTGAAAACAAAAATAAAAATGGAAAACTAAACTTTGAAATAAAAAATTTAAATTGAAATGAAAACGTAATAAAAAAATAAAAACTTGAAATCAAAACAAAAACTTTAAATTGAAATAGAAAACATGAAATTAAAATAAAATTTTAAAATTAAAAAAACGAAATGTGCAAATTAAAATGAAAACTTAAAATGAAAACGAAAATAATATTTGTTCAATGGTTTAATTGTTAGTTAATTAATTTAAAATTTTACAGAGACGTTACGAGAATCGTCAGATTACTCAAACTGAAAACGACGTCATAAAACTTGGAAGTGGTCGTGAACTTTCAACATGTTCGAGTTGTTCGCATAAAATACTTTAATTTATTTTTGCCAAAAAAATAACTTTTTTTTACAAAAATTAGTTTAATAAGTATCATAATATTCAACTCAAAATTAACTCCTAATTAAAATCTATATATTTTTTTCTAACTAAACGAAAAAAAGTACCTGAATTCGAAAGAAAAAATTAAATTTCAAAAGCGATATAGAGTAGTACCGACAGAAGTGGGCCACACTTTGGTTTCCATGCTTTAGAATATTCAGAAATTAACATTTTTGAACACTTTTTGCGTTTCCCAGTAATATAAGGGGTGAATTAAAGTGGATTGGCACTTTTATGCTCTTAAATTCCAAACCAATTCCGTTTTTGTCCGCAATCTTAATGCATTCCTTTTCTATTGTTAAATTGATAATTTCTATCCAATTCAATTCTCTGTAACCACGTGACCTGAATTTGAGAATCCCCTTTAATGCCTTTTAAAGAATTCAATGTTAATTAAAAGGTATTAACTCCACAACAAATGATTCCCTTAAACGGCATTAAAGTAAATTTAGACTCTGGTCACATGATTACAGAGAATTGAATTAAATAGAAATTATCAATTTAACAATAGAAAAGGAATTCATTAAGATTGCGGACAAAAACGGAATTGGTTTGGAATTTAAGGGCATAAAAGTGCCAATCCACTTTAATTCACCCCTTATTACTGGGTTATTTGTACAGAAAGGGGTTACCTAACTTTAGGCAAACACACATTTAAAAATTTTTAATTTTAACATATTGTTTAACATCGTTATGCAAAAAAAGAGAAATTTGCGATCATGATTTTGTTGACAGAAGTGGGCCACCTAAGTTTTTTATCTAAAATAAATAAAAGGATCAAGCACTATGATTGTTTATGTTAAATGAATAATTTTTTTAACAAATATAGTATTGTAAAACCGAGCAGAAGCAGTGCGTTCCGAAATTTTATTATTTTTAATTTGATTTATAGCATAAAGTAATTTGTCGTAGTCAATGAGTTCATAGCCAGTCGGTTTAGCCTTTCTTGGTGGCATGATTGCTAAAAATTCAAATTAATTCATAGAACCACTTCATTAATTTATACAAAATCACTAAATGTCAAATCAGAACGTCAATGCAGTGGCCCACTTCTGTTTTCAGAAAATGGCCCACTTCTGTCCACAAGCATAATTTGACGAGAAATAACGTGGCCATAACACCTAGCGACAATTTGAAACAGTCCCTTTAAATTTTTTAAAGTTAGGTCTGATACTATAATAAAGGCTACTTGCCCGATTGAATTCTATGAATACCTTATGTAAACAACGATAACTTCTACAATGAGAAAAAAAGAAAAAGTAGATAATTTTTGGCACTAATTGCTGGAGAACACAATTGTACGTCGCACTCTTTAATGACTAACTGAAAATCGACCTTCTGTTGATAACAAAAGAAAAAAAATTTCGGTTGATAGATGTGTCACTTGTAAAACCAAAAGCGGCGGGTGGCCCACTTCTTTCAATGCTACTCTACTATAATTTTGCTTTAACTTATTATAAAAGAAGGAGAATTCAAGGAAAAAAAAGTCTGAAAGCATTTTTTATTTTTCTATTTATTTAAAGAAAATGACAAATATTCGTTTTTGTAAGGGAAATATTTTTTTTTGTATAATTAACGAATTATAATAATTTTAGATTTATGTGGCACAATATTAATGTGCAGTTTTCTTCTGTGTGTGTCCTTGATCGAAAGTGCCTTCGACTTAATTTAAAAAAACAAAATAGCATTAATGTAATTTTTTCAACAAAAAATTTTATTACTCGATAGATAGAAAATAATTTTCATAATAAATTCTTTTTATTTATTTACAATTTTATGTTCAGCAAAGAATTTAAATTTTCCAGAAATGACCTCTTTTTATTGATTAAAATTCAAATCATAAAATAGAATTTAAATTGTAAAACGTGGAGAATTTGCAATATTTAAAAATGAGATATAATTGCAAAAAAGAAAAATTTGAATATATCTGAAATTTAAATGAAATATTTTTTGACATTGAATTCGTAAATAATTTTAATTTACACTACTACTAACTTTGCAATTAGAAAATTTATTTTATCTAATCAAATCAAAAGTTAAAAAAAAGAAAAACATTTATTTTGTTTGAATTTAATATAAATTCAAAGTTATTAAGAAATTCTATTGTTCTTGAAGTTTTTTTATTGACAGTAAAAAAACGTGAAATGAACAGAATGTTAAAAGAAAATATTCGATTAAATAAAAAAGAAAAAAATATTTCAATAAAATTAAAAAAAATATATTTTTATTATAAAATTAATAATTTATTTATTGAATATATTGTTTATAATAATTATTCAATTTTTAACTATTGAATGTAATTTATTTTTTATAAAAGAAAGCAAAATTTAATTATTATTTTAATAATTTATATATTAAGTTTGAAAATTAATGCAACTAAATTAATTGATTTAAATTAATAAATTAATTTTCTATTATAATATATTAAAACACGACTATTAATTATTTAAACAAATTAAGTTATAAATTATTGAAAAAGGGTTAAAATTTTAAAAAAGGGACAAAAAGCATGAAAGTAGATCCCTTATCTTACCTTGTTTAATGGCACATGTGCAAGAATGAAAGTTTTTGGTTAGGTTTTTATCTAAAAAGATAGCATGAAAAATCGTTTCAAATATTATAAAATTAAATGTAAAATAAATATTTTACAATAAATAGGGTAGAGTGGGATTAAAAAGTCATGTTGAAAAAAAGCTATTTGGCTTTTATTTTAAATTAAGACGCAACTTTTGATTCTAGTTCGGATGTCGTATCAATAATATTATAGTAGTTATTGGAATTTTTAATTTTGAGCTGGCTTATTTCGATGACTATAAATTGAAAGCAGGTAAACTTAACATAAAATACCATTTTTCCTGCTAAAAATGTTTTTAAATTATTTATTTGTCATGTGAATAAAAGAAAAATATAATTGCGAGCAAGCAAGCAACAGTTGTTTCTATGCATCAGCTGTTTCACTATCGCGCATGCGTTATTAGAGAAAGAAAGAAAAGGGGTCTACTTTAGTACTTTTCGTATGGCTGTCTCCGTCTATGCGCCTAAAAAACATTTTGGTCGCTTGCGCACTCTATTCTAATAACTATGGTTTTTTAAATTCTTAACATTATTTTGATCGTTATCAATGTGGATCTGTATAAAAATATGACACGTTATTTTGAAAATTATTATAATATTGTAAATAGTGAGTATGATAATTTCCAACATTTTGTCACAATTTGGAAATTGTTTTTTTATGCCTCGTGCATCATTTTCATATTGACGATGATGACGAAAATGTACTTCAATAAACTGGTCTATTTTTAAAAAATAAATTTACTATTCTGAAAATTAATGCGCAAAAAATAACGTTTAAATGCTCCTTCTTCTGAATAGATTTTTTTTCGTTTTTAACTAGAATAGGAAAAGTAAATAATATTAATAATAATAATTAATAGGCAAGGAAAGATTAGTTTTTCTGAAAGAAAATTTTATAAGAAAAAAAAAAGGTTTGGAGTATTTAAAAATTTAGGAAAAGAAAGCGCGAGGTTGACTTGAATGGTAGGTAAAGTACTTGACTCTAAGGAGGCGGAGCATTACGGCCGGAGTGGATCAATGAGAGGAAGAAAGAGAAACTGCGATTTCTCTCTCGCTCTCATTGCCCCACTCGACGCTGACGCTCCGCCTCTTCTTGATTAAGCGGAGTGGGGACAATAAGAGTGAGAGAGAAATCGCAGTTTCTCTCTCTTATTCCTCTCATTGCCTCACTCCGCTTCTTCTTAGTTAAATACCTTGAGAATCAATCAAAGCTAGAATGCGATATAAATAAATGAGCCTCCGGAAAGTATAACCACACATAAAATTCTGATGCCCATTGAATTAGCATGGCGGTCAGAATTTTATGTGTGGTTATACTTTCCGGAGGCTAAAATATTATAAATTTTATAAAATATAAATTATATAATAAAAAATTTAACAACAAGAAATTAATTGCATTAATTAATAAACAATTAATATTAAAAAATACTACATTATTCGAAGAATTTAAATAAAAATGTAGTAGAAAATTATATTATTTATTATTATAGTTAAAATTATTATTGTTATTATTGTTAATATATTATATTTTTGTGATTTATATATAAGAATAGATTTAAAATAGCAAAATAATAGTCGGGAATATATTTCGAATATCAATTTTCGTTAATGAATATATGTTTATTTACTCTCCCTGCAATAGGCAGGGTTCGAGACTCCCAAGTACATACACAAGTCAGCTTATTCTTATACAAAATTACTTAAACTAAAACGCCTCTCATATCCCACATCAACAAAACTTAACCTAATCGCAACTAAAACCTATTCGCATCTCACTCATCCTCTCAAAATTTGCCAGTGCCAGGGCTTCCGTTTCCAGTTCCCTTTGTCCATACTGACTGACTCCCCATTATCGTCCCACCCCTTTAAATTTCTTAAATCCTTAACCACAAACTTCATTCTCCAACCATTCCGTCTCACGATTTCATCCTAACCTTTTACTACCAAAATCCCAACCAACTTACAATCAAACTATCCTTCAATTCTCTCCATTCACCCGATCATTCATTCCAACCTCAAACACTCCTCCATTACCTTCTTTCACACACCATTTTACCCCATTCACCCACACACATTCCCTACCCATTCTTACTTCATTTCCATTCATTCTTTCCAACCATGCCTTCTCCCCCAGCAACCATCTTATTCTTCTCTCCCTCCACGTTCTGTCCTCATCAATTCTCTCAACACATCCTTTCAACCTCATCACCTCCTCCTTCTCCTCCTCACTTCCCAGTTCTACTAACCATATCTTCGGCATCCCATTCGCATCCATACTCATCACCAATTTTCGTTAATGAATAATATTTGGAAATATTTGTCAAATTTTATTCGGAAAAGGAAAAATATTGGAAGTGTTATTGTGAAGAAAATTTGCATAACAAGGGAATTTTATTGCTTGGAATTGAGGCAAGACAATAACATTTTCCTCTCTCTCTCTTTCTTTGTATTTGACATTCTCTGTTTATAGAAAAACTGCGAAGTCAGATTAAGTCCACAATATATAAAACTTTGGAGTATAGTATTATAATCTTAATGACTTTGACGTCAGGCTACGATCGCTGCGCATGACAGTAATGACGTCATCATACACACAGGTCTATAGTAGTAAGGCTGGAGTCCCATGGCAGCGTTTTGCGTTGCGTTTTGTAACTATAGGCCATGAGTGCAAATATAGCAAACATATATCTCCATATCTCTCACACTCATTGCCTAGTTACAAAACGCAACGCAAAACGCTGCCATGGGACTCCACCCTAATGGTACGGATTACTACTTTTTCGATTTCTACGAGTAATATTTACAACATATCGAATGTTAAAAGTAATACAAAATTTAATGAAAGTTACAATGACGATGTAAAAATTAAAATTCTTAAAGCAATTTTTAAAAGTGGCTACTGTAATAATTGCTATTAGTAATTTTTACTATCAGAAATAGTAATATTTACTTCATGCGAAGTACATTTTACAATGAATAGTAATTTTTAATTTAAAATGTAATTATTACTATTCCATAGAAACTTTTACTAGAAACTCAGCCTCATTTTTCTCCGTGCAGGTATATAGAATGTAAGAAAGTAAACAAAGGGGGCATGGTCTCCAGAAAATATAATAAAAAGTGCGATTTTTAATTTAAATAAAATTTTGGACTCTCAGTTTTAATTCTGCATTGGTCATTGTCGAAGGTCGACATAGAGGAGGAGTGGTGTAGAAAAGTAGAAAAGAAAGGAAAGTATGGAGACCGCTATACCTTATTCATTCCCACTTTCTCAACTTCAGCATGCGCTAGAAAGACCTGAGCAAAAGTGAAGCGTCGTGTTTTTTTTCGTTTTCTCATTTTAGACCAAAAACCACGTGCTCGAAAAAAATTTCTTCTCTGTAAGTAAAAGGAAAAAAATTTCTTATGAAAAACACAAGGTCTTTTGTAGAATATACGAATAGGTTAAGTTGTGCTTTAAACAGGCGAGTTTAGTTAGTTAGTATCCACAAACTCAGCCGTTTGTGGATACTACAAGCGTGGCTCATAGATGGCGCAGGAAATCCTGTAAATTTTAGAAGAAATTTTTTTCCGTGTAAGAAAAATTTGATAAATTTGTTAATTTATTTACTTATATTTCAAATTTATTTTTTAGTATTTTATTTTAGTCAAGGTTTTAGTAATGATTTATTTCATCAATTTGTTTAATAATTATTTCTTTGATTAATTTATTTAATAATTGTTTCATTAATTTAATTCGACAACGTGTTCGATAAAAATGTTTTCTCTGTTGTAACTAATTAAATTTTAATAAGTTTATAA